GCTTCCACTGAGCCGTCAGGTTGACCTTCGAGTGTCTGACCTGTGATCCGTGACACGTTTCAAAGCGTCGCGGCGTGATTCCGCTGCCGGCAGCCGAGCGTCCGGGCCGAGGCGTGGTTCTGTTTATCCTGCTGAGAGGAGCTCCAGAGTGCCATCGATCGGCCTCCCGGCTGCAGCTGCCAGCGGATCAGCAGCAGCAGCAGCAGCAGCTGGATGGATGAGTTCATCCTCCGGTAACACAATCTGCCGAGCTGCAGCCTGATATCTGTGTGTAGAAACACTGCTATCGATGTTCCTGTTACACACCTGACTCCACCTTAATGAGGCTCCGAGCTGCTGATCCAGTCCGAATATCTGGAGTTTAGAGGCGTTCAGACGTCGTGCTGATAGATGGAGGGTCACTGGGTCGCTATCGTCGGGTTTCTACGGAAGCAGACGAACATCTCGGCTGCACGTTAACACCAGCAGGTACTTCCAGGACTAAAGAGGTTAAATCTGACAGCTTTCCACGGGTCGGGCTTCATCGTAAAGAAAACATAGAGTGAACCAATCAATTAGATCTACGGAAGAGTTTCCTCGAGTGTCTTGTTTAGCCCAAAGATCTTCAGTTTACTGTCATAAAGGAGGACAGAAAGCAGAACATATTCACACTGAAGACGCTGCAATCACAGAGTATTTTATGAAAACATTAATTATTCAAACCAATTATCAGAATAGCTGCTGATGAGTTTGGTCCTAATGGTTGCAGCTCTAACAGATGGTTTGTTGTTGAACTCGGAGCTTCCTGTCTGTTGGGCTGAAGTTAGATTTTAAAGAATAATAAGTTTTCTAATACTTCATTACTTTATTACGTCAGTGTTACTTTGGACTATTTTTATATTTTCAGTAACACTCATATCTGATCGCTTCTCTCTTTTATTGCTGTCTGGTTAATACCTGGCACAAGAACTTCCGTCAGGATTCACAAAATCGTTTCTTATTCATGACAGTGGAATCACTGAACCTCTAACGTCCATCATGTGTTTGTCTATTAAGGGTTATAAATATTATATTAACATTGGAAGGACTGACGGATGTAGATGGATGGAGGATACTCACATCCCGCTAGTGATAAAAACAGAGGTGATTATTGGGTTTGTTTTTGTCCACGAGGTAGAAACTCGGTTCTAAGAGCTTCTGTCAAACTAAACTTTCTATGAGCTGCTGCGTTCGAACTAATGTGATTATTATTAGGATGACGTTTGTTTGGATCTTTACCAAAACGCTTGAACGTCCACGAAAACTCTCCGTGAACCGACCAGAAGATCACGATAATGTTAATAATAATAATTATTAACCTCGTGCTAGATGTCAGCATGAATAAAGTCTGGTCCGTTTGGGTCTGTTCGTTCAGGTACAGTTGTCAAACACCAGATTTAGTTCTTGTTCTTCAGCGTTAAAAATGATTTAAATCGCCAGCGAAACATTCAGTCCACAGGTCCTCATAACGCTGAACAATGTAAGTTTATGGTTGTTTTGTCGTCTACCTTTTTATCATCGCCGTCACATGATGCAACGAAGGGCGTCGAAACGTTCAAACTGTGATCATTCGGCTCCTCTTCGTCCCGACAGCAGCTGGTTTCTACGTTTTTCTCCCTGTGAATATCAGTTATGGATCTCCGTGGTCGTCGGTGATCGATATCGGCTCTGAAGAAAAACCTCATCGGTCGACCTTTGGGATGAAATGTCCGCATCCATCAGCTCACGGGGTCACAACCTTCAGATGCAGCGAATCAAAGCTCTGAGATCTTCCCTCTGAACCGGCAGCTCGTAGCTTATGATCGATTATAGGTTACAGATTCGTAAAACCGTATGTATTGTAGATGTAGAGCCGATAACGTCGGGGTAGCAGCAGTTTCCTCTGACGCTACGGAGACTCTCATGTGTTGGTCAACACTTTTCTGCTGTTGGCTGCTCTTTAATCAGATATTTTATCAACTTCAACCCAATTTTATATTCCTGTCGTGTCTAATAGACGTTCTGCTGCTTGTGCATCTGCAGACCTTCACTTTTATTTTGCCGTAACTCTGGTTTACCTCCGAGAAAACTCTTTGTGCTGCTGATTTAAATAGTTGTGTTGCAGACCGAGGACGTCATCTTTTGTTTTATTTCTATGCAGCTGATTTATTTCTGCAGCCATCAGAGTTGCTCTGCTGTTGCTGCACGTGTGGAGCTGGACGGGTTCTCCTCCTCCACGCAAAATGAGTTTCTGATAATGAGGAACGATTTATCGTGCGGCTCTAATTGTCTGTATGCGCTGACATTTCATGCGCTTAGTTCATTTGTTTTTTTCCGGCTTCAGTTTAACGTAGAAATGCGTCCAGAACAGATTAAAGGGATCCAGTCTCCTAAAAAAAATAGATCCTGCATCGTTTGCTTTTGTGTTAAAAATGTGCATTTAAAGGTTAAAGTCGCTCCTGCATCCCCCGAAAAAAACGCAACTAAAATAAACTTCTTCTGGAGTCGCGACGTATGGCGGCCACACGTCTACTCAACTTATCTTTAATTACAGTTTAAACATGTTGAGAAAGAACCGTGATACGTGCCTAAACAAACATACGAGTTCAGAGGTTGGAAACAAGAAAACGTGGCGCTCGCAGCTCGTCCGGTTTGTCGTCTCCGGTGGGCTGAAGCTCCTGCTGCTGTCTACTGATGTTTCGTTTGTTCTGTTTCTGCGTCACAAAGAGGGAATCCCTTAAAATAAGAAGCTGCTGCTCCGTCTCTTTAGTCGGGATGTGTGGGAGGGAGCTGATTGGCTGACAGGCAGGAACACCTTGAAGGTGAACAAGTCGCTGGTGTTGAGTTTAAATAACCTGATGAACCCGTAAACTGGATCCTCCACGAGCTCCGTCTTCACCTGCAGATGGGCGTTCTGGTGAACCGTTTGGGCAGATGTCAGTAAACAGCGTGACTCAGAGCCAGTTATGAAATGGAAACATAATGCGAAGGAGGAAATTTCATCTGCGTGCGACTTTCTGTACATTAGCGCCGGAGCGGCTGATGGTATCTGCAGCCTCGAACCACTTCAGAGCTGATAAATAAATAGAGACGGGGAGAAGTCTCTCTTTTGAATATCAAAGAGCAGAAAATAAAGAGTTTTATCAGTCGTCAGTGGCCGGTTCCTTCCTCCTCCTCCTCCTCCTCCGCAGGTTTTCATCCTCTGACGGAAACACGACTGCACGGCGGCGATGTTCAAACGTTCTTCATGTTTTCAACGGAACATTTGTGCCTTCAGTTCCCAGTCAGATGACGTTGTTTGCTCAAACAGGAGGAAGTTAGGGGTCATTTTTAAGCTGACACGAACCTTTGAGGATGTTCCGACCAGAAGCTGTAGAACCTTTATTAGGGAGGAAGTATCTGACAAACTGCTTTACGTGGCCGGATGCTGTTGGGTTAAACTGCTCAACATTTTTTCTGTTTTTGCGATGTTCTCAGCTTCTTCTCCTCTCTGGTATCACCATCAACAAAGTTCTCCAGATGATCTAACAGAACAAATCCACACAGTTACATTCCTGATAAACTTAATTTACGACTTCTGACTCGGAGGGAAGGTGGCCAGTTTGAAGAGCGACAGTCAGGCTGGAAGGACGATGGCGTGAACCGGCCAGCTGTCCTCCAGAAGACCAGAGTTTGACTTTTACTGGCTTTCTGGTTGGGTTTAAGCACCGAAACTACACATTAGACGCTTGGTTGAGGTCTGACACCAAAATATCTTTATAGTTTGAGTTCAAAAACAAATCTTTCACTACGTTTGAAGGTCCTCCTCCATTTTCTGGACGACCACGATGAAAAGATCAAATAAAACTTGTCGCAGTCTTGCTACGTCTGATGTCTGATTGGTTTGCAGAAAACCAACCAATCAGAAAAATAGTCTGGGTTTCCTGTTTCCTTCCTGGAACTGGAGCTACGGTTCATTACGATTTGTTTTGGTGCTTTTTGAGTCAACGTCGTGGTGGAAGCTGTTGGAAACCAAGATGGAAAAAGAAAGGACCAGAGTTCTGGGAGGGTTTGTCAGGAGGATGAATCAGATCCTGGTTCAGGTTTATTGACGTCTTTCGGATGTTCTGTACTTGTCGATCCGTCCAGAATCTGTTCCTGTGGATATGAACTGGAAGAACAGCTACGTTGATGTAATCGAACACGAATGCTGGCAAAGGCGTCTGTGATTAGACAGAAAGAGTTCCTAACAGTCCGACCACAGCTGGACTGGGTTCTATGTGAGCAGAGTTCAGGATGTTGTGATGCGCTCTGGACCCAGTAGTTCTTTAAATGTCTGTTCTCTCTCTCTCTCTCCTGAAATGACCGAACGTTCCTGGAAGTGACGCATGTTTTAAAGGAGCTGAATATGTTGAAATAAAGTGGATTATTCGTGACATAATTCCAAGAATTGTGCAGAATAATCGTCTCAGGTGTCCGTGACTGGTGTGGATTGTGCAGCTAACGGCAGGTTTACATCAGGAGTTTGGCTTCCTTGTCGATGCTTCTTATTTCTGTCTACTCTGATCCCCGTCCGCTGTCTTAATAAGTGGACGTATTTTCCTCTCTTGAGTCTTCTTCTTGCTGTTTAGAAGCCGCCATGTTCATCGCTGTGTGCAACAGAAGTAAAACTGCTGTCTGCTGTTTGTGCTGTTGTTCCGCTATTGCTCGTAGCTTTATCACAGTGGGCGGGGCTTAATGGAGGATGTGGTTCCTGCAAAACAGAGGAATGTTTTGATGGAACTTTTGCATGCAGAGAGACGAGAACTGTGTTAAAAATGAACTAGCAGGAACGTCTCTGCGGAACTGCTGCTTAGAGGTCGCTGTCGTAAAGATAATCAGTACCGCACAGATGGTGGAAGGAATCGGTGGTTTGCATCCTGCATGAACTGACCCTTTAGTATCTATTTTGGTAGTCGGTGCTGTTGTGAAAAACGACGGTCCTAGAAATGCGACGCTGAACCTGCAGCTGCTGTGAACACAACCTGTCAGGGAGGAAACTGGGAAGGCCCGGCGCTGAGTCTCCATCGGTGTCTGTGAGCTCAGCTTCCTCCTCCTTCTGGTTCTGCTCCAGCGCCAACCAGGTCCGGTTCAGCTTCACGGGGCTCCTGGAGCTTCGCTGTTCCTGCTGCAGGATGCTGAAGATGCTTCCTGAGCTGTGCACCGCTGCCTGTTTTCTCTCCTCCCCCATGACCTCGGGGGAGATGCTGAGCTGAGGGGGGGAGGCAGCGCCGCTCTGGTCATGTGATCGCTTGTTGTTTCCTGGAGGAGGCGGCAGCAGCAGCAGCAGCAGCAGAAGAACAACCGAGCTGCAGAGCTTCACCTCCGAGAGCAGCTTCACAGTGACCACTGACCCAACGCACACACTCACAGGCTTTGATGTGATCCGATGCGAGGCTTCAGATCCTCCGCTGCTCTTCATGTGCAAACGGCCGCGGGGCTTCCACGGTCCGACTCCTCATCCTCACTGTGATTCATGTGTGACTCGAATCCCCTAATTGGCCAAATGAGGCTGTGGGCTGCAGAGAAGCTGTGAAAGCTCCAGAGATGATGGAGGAGGAGGAGGAGGAGCAGAGGGAGGCTGCGCTGTACTACACGTAGCTGGAGGGAGGCTATGGTTTGTGTTTGCAGGGCAGATTTTTTTTTGACCTCGATGGGGGAGAATCTGGGACAGAAGACGAAGCGTTTCTCTGATATCAGGCCATAAGTAGCCGCCTCAAAATCCACGGCGCCCAAAAATCACAGGCGCCTGACTAATTCTACCGAGGTCACGCTAAGTTCATTTGTAATCGGGAAAGTGGAGCTTGAATATAAATGTGTCCCCGTGAGTAACGGAGAGTCCTGGTGCAGAGCGAGGACCAGCAGCTGAGGCATTTTCAGGAACACATTGTTTAACAGGGAAAGGTGTTTCGCAGCTGCTCACGCAAACATTCGGACTCTGATGACAACATTTGGCAAAAACACACACTTCTGTCTTATATGTATCGAAAAAATTGGGAATTTCCAGCAGATGGCTTGAATGACTCCATTTAGAAAGCATGAATAATTGTAGAAGGATTTTTTAGGGGAGTGAATCTGCAGAGAAAATGAAAAAAATCTATTTTTTAAAAAGCTGAAAAAGTAATTTTTCTCATCCGGCGTGACTCTGATAAACACATCCAGGTTAGTTTTTAGTTCAAACAGAACTTCGTGCTGCTGATTGAAGCGATCAAACCGACAGCAGAACCTGTTTTCATCAAACATCATCGTTTCTGTAGGAAAACATTTCACACAGCTGATGTGAGTTTCTCTTCTGCAGCTCAACAAATTGTCTTTTGTTTAAAAATGTCCTTAAATCAGATTTAACTATTAGAATATTAGAGTTTTCTGGTAGTTCAGTCACAGAAAATAGGGCCCGTTAAAACTTTCTTTGTGTTTTAACCTGCAAAAAACTTTCTGCGGTGATGCTGAACTGGCCGGATACCTTTGAATTTGACTCGTGTTTTTTCTCTTTCTGGATTTCCAACAAACACGGCGTCTCATTTTGGGAACTTTTTGTGATGAGAACTGTTGAATCCGTCTTTGTTTTAGATCAGCGACAATCAGTTTGAAAGTTTTCAGGAGTTTTGAGTCACAGCTGGATGAACCTGATTTACATCTGGCTCATTTGGGGCCAGTTCACCCAGATTTCAGAACTTTTTTCGGTTCATGTCATCCGTCCATCATCATCTATACACCACTTAGTCCTCACCAGGGTGGTGGGGGGCTGGAGCCTATCCCAGCTGACTCAGGGTGAAGGCAGGTTCACCTGGACAGGTAACCAGTCTATCACAGGGCTACACTTAGAGACAGACAACCAAGCACACTCACATTCACACCTACGGACAATTTAGAATCACCAGAGAACCCGGAGAGAACCCACGCTGCACGGGGAGAACATGGAGACTCCACAGAAAGATCCCAGGTGTCCTCACCAGGACACGAACCGGCGACCTTCTTGCTGTGAGGCGACGGTGCTAACCACCAAGACACCTGCAACCCTCGGTTCATATCATGTATTTAAAAAAATTACAAAATCAGGCAAAAACTTCTACCTCCACCCTGGAGTCCTGCAAATCCAATTTGAGTCAGGAATCAATTTCGTGATTCTTTTATTTTTCACAGGATTTGTCTGATTTTTATTTATTTATTTATTTTTTAAACTGAATTTCTGAAAAAACTTAAGAAAAAGTTGAAGCTTGTCGTCGTGGCAACAGCCTATGCAGATTTTTTTTTTAAAAAATTTTATTTTGAAAAACCTGTAATTTTTCATCAAAATGAAAAATCTTAATCTTAATCTCCATTAACATTCACTCAGTTCCAACCAAATTTCTCTTGTGGGTAGACACAACTTGTATTTATCAGATCAAAATGTTATTTGGTGCTGCAGCAAAAACTGACTCCGAAAATAAGCTTCAGAGCTGAAAAATCCACTTTTTTAGGACATTTAACAGATTTTTTTTCCTCAGGAAGGATTGTTTTGATTTTCTTGGAACTTCTTGAAGGGAAAACCTTCATATCCATTGAAAACACATTTTAAATAAATAAAGAGGGCCTATTTTCAAACATTCATCACTCATAAAGTGTTTGGAGCAGAGTTGTGGGATTTTGCATGATTTAGGTGGAAGTTTGTTGGATGATTTATTTCAAGAAAATCCGTGATCTCTAGCAGCTTGGACGTAAACTTTAAATGCACTGACAGCAGAATGCATTGCTGCTGCTGGCGTAGACACCGACTGTCATGTGCAGAAACGGTTGTTTTCAATCAGAGTCCTGTTGCAGATTCATTCCTCCGTCCTCTGATGTTTCAGACTCACTTTTAGGGAGGAAAGTGTGTTTCTTTCCAGACATAAACTAGAACATTTAGCCGTGCAGGAGTGTAGTTTTCAGGGGGACGCTGTTGTCTGCGTCGCACCACGGAGGACAAATGTTGTCACAAGCTGTGCAGCAGACACTTAGAATCAGCAGAGGGTCCCTTTGAGGTAAATTTAATCCCGTAATGTTCCGGCAAACAGCTGTTTACGAGGCTGGATGCAGCTTCTGTGTGCAGAGGAAGGAAGGAAACAACGGGAAGCTTTGCAATAAAACACTGGATGTCCTCGGTTCTGCTAAAAGATGTGCAGAACGAGACCGACATCAGACGATCTCAGAGGTCTGGTGCTGAGCTTTGGCTGCTCGAGTGCAGCGGCCCATTCCTGGACGAAGAGCGTCCCCCGTCACCGTGATCTGATGTGACTGGATGCAGTTCAGAGGGAAGCTAATACGCGAGCGGAGCTGATGTTTGTGAATCAGTGGGTCAGTGGGTCAGCCTTCGCCGGACATCCTCGGAGGAAAAAAACGCAGCCGAGAGGAAGTCGCAAACGGATCCCCAGCGAGCCGAGCCGAGCCTCCGATGATACCGAGCGGCACCCAGAGACCAGCCGGTGAAACTCCATTACAGGACACACTCGCTAATTAAACCTCTGCTTTAATTAGGATTTGGACGACACGCGATAATGACGTTCATTCATCCAGCAGAGACACCGAGAGGGAGGACGGCTCGGAGCGAAGGCTGACATTCAGTCTGCAGCTTTATTTATGCAGTTTGTAGAGAAAGA